TGCAAAACCTGCTCAGGGATCGATTTTAAGAGCCATTAGGAAAAGAGCCTAGCCAGCGTCCTCTAGTCACTGTGTAACAAAATGGTAGGGAGACCCATGGCATGGAGGTCGGTGTATCCCTCATAGATGAACCTATGGATTCCAGGTCCCTGGCCTTATAAACTTGTTTGGATGCTATGTTCATTGTTACTGCTTGCCACCGGGTGGGGAATGGAAAAGTTTTGGTTGAGCGGGTGAACAGCAGAAGATCCTCTGTGTGAACCATTTCTCTTGACTCTCCCGTCTGGACTCCTGACTAACTGTGCCTGCCTCCACGCATTTGAGTGATTTGTCAAAGGGGCACGTGATGGCACCACATGGAAGGGCAAGGCCACCAGTCTATTCAGGTGACCTCTTAGTGACCGCTGCTGGTAATGGCTGCTACTTTGCCCCACTCCCTGGAGAACACTGGGCAGTGTCCTCATTTGCCTCCTCTGGAGAAAGCTCTGGCAAGAAAGTGTCCTGACAACACAGCCACAGAGACAAGGAGGCCTGAGGAAGGGAGAGAGGTGATTCCCACGGTACTAGTGATGTACCGGATTGCTGTGACCAAATACCTCACAAGCAACTGAAAGGAGGAACGATTTATCTAGGCACAGAGATTCTGAGTCACATCCCAGCTCTGCCATCACCTTGGTTTGGTTTTGTCAACTTGACAGAAGTATCTGGAAAGAGGAGATCTCACTGAAAACTGCTTCATCAGATTGGTCAGGAAGAAAGCCTATGGGGGCTTTTTCTTGATTAAGGAGTGACATGGAAGGGCTCAGTCCATTGCAAGTGGTGCCATTCCTTAGCAGGTGGGCCTGGGTTCTTAAGCGGACTGAGCGTATTATGTGCAGCAAGTTAGTAAGCAGTGTTCCTCTGATCCCTGCAATAGTTCCTGCCTCCGGAATCCTGCCCTGACTTCCCTTCTTGGTGGATTATAACCTATAAGGTTAAACAAACCCTTTCTTTTTCAAGTTGCTTTTGGTGACGACCTTTATGACAGCAGCAGAAAGAAGACAGACAGACAGACACTGGTCCAGGATCATGCATGGGGTATTGCTAGGACAGATCTGACCGATGACATTTTGGGGGGCAGGACTGTGGAAGGACTTTGGAACTTTGGGTTGGGAAAGCCATTGAGTGCTCAGAGCTTAGTGAGCTTTTGTGGGAACTTGGAAGATAGGAAGGCTGAAAAAGAAGTAAACGGTGAAGGTCTGGCTTCTGATGTTTCAGAGAGAAGAAAGATTCTACCAGAACCATTTTTGACATTTTGAATTAAGAATGTGTTTTTCTGACATGAGGCTGAAGAATCGGTTGTGATTCACAAGAGGTCAGAACCACTGAAACGAAACCTTTATTTCACCAGGGCAGCCTCTTAGCAGCTTTTGGGTTTACAGGTCTATTAAATGTTGTGTACCTCAGTTTCTCCATCAGTAAGTTGGGTGCAATAGCAGAATATTGCTCAGTGAACCGTTATGACTGTGAATGAGCTAGAAATGGCAACGCCCGCATAGTTATTGATTACGTTTGTTATGTAGTTAGCATTAGCGCCACTTAATATGCAGAACTTAACGCGGTCATTGAGCTAAGATTCATGGGAGACACACTGCATAAGAAGATTGACAGAGTAGGAAACGACCCCAGAGATTACAGGGAGCATGCCAATTTCAGAAACGTAAGAAATGGAGGTATGTTTTCCAACAGAGGAAGTGTGTGTTTAGTCTCTTTGAGCCCCAGCTTCTGTCTGCTCACCGGTGGTTCTTCAGGCTGTGAGTCTCTAGCTTTGGCTATACCTGTACCTTGGCCCGCAGTGAAGTGCTTTCAATGACTGCTGGACAGAGCCACACCAACACACCAGATAAACCACAAGGGCCTCCTCCTGAGGAATGTGCATCAGTCGGGGCCCATGTGTGCTAATCTGCACACCACATGTACCTAGCTGTCTCTGTTCTTTGGCCCTCGAAACCCTCTAACCCTCTCTCCCAGCCTGCTTCCCTGCGATCCATGCCAGTCTGGAGGTTTTTGTTAAAAGTTCTTTTGCCCCAGCTGGAATTATAGAAGACACAGCACATCAATTCCTGGATCTTGTATACACACACACACACACACACACACACACACACACACACACACACAGTGCTTGTTCTTCGCCAGATAAACATTAACTCAGATACCACGACTCATTTGCTCCTCATAACAAAACAATGCGTCAAGCATTATAATTATCCCATATTTATAGTAAAATAAAGACATAAAGAGGTTAATAACATGGCCAAGGTCACAAGCTCACAAGAGGAGGGGGTCAGGGTTTGAACCCAGTCCTCCTGGCTCCAGAACCCTGGCTTTTAAACACTCTGTTATTCTACTTTAAAACCACGGATAACCCCACTAACCCCATTATAATAGGCCCTGCTAATTACCTTCCCTCCCACCCCTCCCTCCGATCCCAGCTGAGCACATTACCAAGTGAGGTCTTACAGGAGAAGCCCATACACAAAGATGTCATGTGTTTAAGACAGACATGGAATTAGAGACAAAAAATAAATAAACTCAGATCCTGAGATGGAGATTTATGTGTGACAGAGGGAGACGGGAATGTGTCACAGACATGCAGTCTTGATGTGTTGGTTGTCAGACAACTGGCATGATGCCGGTACCCACATCCCCTACAGGGAACAGATGCTCCTCCCTTTCTGCTCCAGACTGTACCATCCCGCTCAAGAAGCCTGGTCCTGCAGGGAAACAATGGTTATGAGCAGATAAAAATGAATCATGGGAAGGAACCTAAGAAGCTTTCCATGAGCGCCCAGAAGAAGCTCTCATCTCTCCCAGATGGCTGGAATGGACAGGGGTCATCCTTGGGATGAAGGGATACCCTAAAATGCCCTTCAGCTCAACATAATTTGTCTCCTGAAGAATCTACTGGTTGATTGGGGGTGGCTGGAAGGATCATTAATGTATTAGTTACTTTTCTAGTTGCTGTGATTATTATACATATGACGTATACCAGCAAAAGAAAGTTCAGAAAGAAAGGGATCACTTGGGTCAGAGTCCATCATGGTGGAAATAGCAAAAGCTTGAGGCAGCTGATCATGTCACATCCACAGTCAGGAAACACACACACACACACACACATAGAGAAAGAGAGAGAGATGAACGAGTGTTCAGTTCACTTTCTCCTTTGCTTTTTTTTTTTTAAATTTCATCTTACATACTCGCCAAGTTCCCCCTTCCTCCCCTTCTTCTGCACCCTACCTCCCCCAAACCACCCCCATCTACTCTTCAGAGGGGGTAAGGCCTTGCTTGGGGAGTCAACCAAGCCTGGCACACCAAGCTGAAGCAGGACCATCACTTTCCTTTGTATCAGCCAAGGATCCCAGCCTGTAGAAACGGAACTGTTCACAGCTCAGATGGCTCTTCCCACCTAATCTGGAAATCCGTCCCAAGGTGTCCAGAGATTTGTCTCCCAGGTCATTCTAGACCCTGTCAGGCTGACGATCAATAGGAACCATCACAGCTACTGAACTGTGCCTCAGGCTTGGGCTCAGTGAAGTTACATTGGTAACAAGCAGGGAATGGAGTCACTTCAAGGGCATATGCTACTGTTGGAAAGAGTTGTAACTGCCTATGGATACAACCTGCAGGCCAAATCTGTCCTGGGACTGTCAGTATCTTTAGACAAAATAACAACAACAAAAACAAACAAACAGAAAAACCCAAAAACCTCTCAATCCCTCTGCGACCTCTGGCTATCCTACCACCTCTAAATCCAAAGGAGGACAAAGACCCCTGCAGAGAAAGGTTCAACCTAGTAGAGTTTAAAAAGCAAAGAACTGGAAGGCACCCAAAAGCACTGTGATAAGGGAAACAGCAAGTCAACTTTGGAACAGCTACACGATGGAGAACTTGGCAGTCAATTAAAAAAAAAAAAAGATCCTTTCCAAAGAGCTTTTGATAATATAAGAAATGCTTACTTGCGTATATGCTAAGTAAAAACACAAGATACCAAATTAGGTCTACCTGATCTTTGACCCAGAAATCAAATTGGACTTTGAGAACCTATCCTACAAAATTAAAAACAGCAGTGTCTTAGGACCAATGCAAAAAAGCCAAAACAAAAACAAAACCCAAAACATGTACCGTTTATTTGTAAGAGCACAAGCAACAGTAATAGCAAAACTAAGGAGAGTGCGCTGAGAGGGGATGCTTGCTTTAGCTGGGGTTACTCTGTATCACAGACTAGCATGTAATCATTAAATAAAGACCTCTGCTGAATGTGTACGGTATGTATTGTTAACCAATCAGAGCATGTTTTAAACACACACACATACACACACACACACACACTCAAAATGCATATATACCCTGGGTATTTCCATGGCCACAAAATGTCTATAATCGCCCCTTTTAGCAAAAGGGGCTGACGCAACTTTTCTTCCTATGACTTCACTTTGCGAAACTTCTCTAAAGAGCTCATAACAGTATAAAAATCTCAACGCCGTTTAGAAACAGGGTCCACACACTGTGCTCTCAACTGTATTGAAATATGTGGGAGGGGAAGATGAGAGGGGTGCCCGTAGGCGCCCCACTGCTTACTATGTAGTGTTGTAAATGGAAGTGGTGGCGACTTTATTCAAGTGAGGTTTTTGTCATTGTTGTTGTTCTTTATAGTTCCTAAATTCCCCGTTTGGGGGTGTTTGTATTGGTATTTCAATCATAGTAAATGAGTATGTGGGCAGCTTATTACATATAGACAGAGATACAGGAAGAAGGAACGGAGGGATGATGGAGAAAGGGATGGATGGTGGGAGGGAGGAAGGGAGGGAACAAAGGCAAGAAGGAAGAGAAGGAAGAGGGAAGAAGGGAGAGGATAACGGGAAAAAAGTAAGAGAGTTCAGGGTGAGTGCAAGTAAGTATCAGAATTAAGAAAATAAATTAAATTGATGGTTTCTGTTTTGTCTCCACACCTTCCACAGCTCTAGCTTCCTGTCCCCACAATGCCACCTACTCCTACCGGCTCTCCTGGGTCTGAGAAGCTCCATGGAGACTTAGGAAGACACACAGCTAACCTGCTTGCAGAAGCAGCAACAGCAGCGCCGCTGGACTGCAGGCTTATGTGTATTCTGTAATGGGTGGAACACTCTGAAATTAATATCTGATGAAGAAATAAAGCTGTTAGCATGGCAGATTTACAGTATTCAGATTACTATTGATCCACGCAGTCCACCACTAATAAAAGCCTTCCTCGTATGGCTTTCTGTATCGTGTTCGCCTAAGCAAATTATCTCTAATAAACAAGTATTACAAGGACCCAAGGAAAAATGCCAATCTATAAATTATTGTGCACGTGTTCTCATTCTCTCTCTCTCTCTCTCTCTCTCTCTCTCTCTCTCCCTCCCTCCCTCCCTTTCTTCTGTCTCCCAGATCTCCTTCTCTCATGATAGACTGGGGTTAGTCTCTAACCCCTATTATGTCTTTTTTTTCCAAGTTTTCAGATCCCCCAAGTCTCTTCTAGCCTAGCAGGGATCAATTCCTTCTCACATTGGGTTAAACGTCATGATTCAATTTCATTTCTCAATTCAACAAAATCCAAAAGACAACAATCATGCTCTAAGGGGTGGACAATCCTAGTTAAGATCCCCAAAACATGAACTCTCAACCTGGGCCTGCTTCATCACCTGTGTGACCATGGGCAGGTGTGTGCCGCTGAGCCAAATCAAGTTCATGAGGCAACACCATTTGAACACTGTGGTGTTCAGCCACCACATCATCCTTTCCACAAACTCAAAGCAGAACTCTAAGATCCTGAATCCCAGGATTAGGAACTTCTGGTCCTTTCCCATTCTCAAGTCTTCCTGGGTCACTGAACCTGGCCACACCAACACCCCTGAATGCCAAAGAAGGACCAGATCATAAATGAGGAATGGATCAGCTCGGGTAAGGAAGAATCTCAGAAGATCCTACCATTGAAGGAACAGAGGTGCTGGTGCCCCAACACCCTCATTTGAATGTGACCTTGAGGACCGTCGTCCCTCTAGCCAGGGTGAAGGGTATAGAATGAACATACAGTGTCAAATATCTGGGGTTCTCACTAGTCCAGATTTTAACCGCTGGATCTCACTTCACACCCCGTAACCTCACATCTCATCCTTGGCACATGTTACAGTCGACCGGTAGAAGGGGTTGGGAAGGGTATCTGAGAAGGGTACTGAGGGTCAGAGGTGACGGGTGAAGACTTGCTGTCACCCTCGGCTTCAGTGAAAGCACAAAGATGGAGGAATGCTCTCACGGGTCTGTGTACGCCACACTCGGATTCGACCCAGGCAAGCACGCTTCCTTGGCCTTTAGACAAGTGATGTTTCCATCTCTCGGGTTTAATTTTATACTTTGGGAATGTAACACGCTCACTGTGTCACTTAGTGAGATAGCTAATTTCTGGGGCTTCCCATACATGTTCCCCAACAGTTCATTGGTCCCCTGGCCCTTAGCCACCAGACTCAGGGGACCTGGTAACAGGAGCAGTGGGATTAAGGCAGTAGATTCATTCCTCTCCCAGGGACACAAAGATGCATGGTTTTCCTAGAGGATTCTGCACAGTGTGTGGGAAATAGTAATATTCGCATCTCTACAGAGCTCTGTGAGATAGCATAAAATTGTGTTTTTAGTGATGTATTTAAAGAATAAATTTCTATTATCCAAAAGGAAGTGAACGAAGAGGAAGAAATGCACTTGGGAAGTCAGTCACCTGAGTTTTTACTTGCTAATAACATTCTATGCTCCAAAAGGGAATATTTGTTACATGTCTCTTGGGTCCTTACTTAAAATTAGACCAGGAATTTTTGGAAGATAAATAGAAGTTTTAAGATTTAAGATTATTCAGCTAAATAAGGTCCAGAAGCCAAATCTTACCTATTTCTTGCTTTAATAAATGCAGTTTTTTAAGAAAAGAAATACAGTCATCCATTTTTATATTGTCTGTGATTGCTTTGTGCTATGATGGCACTTTGGTCTGAATGTCAGTGTCTCTCCAAAATTCATGTACTGGAAAATGTTTCCCACGAATGGATACTATTAGAAGACGGTTAGGAGGCAGTTAGCCTATGAGAGTGGGGCCTCTCCTATGAGATTAGTGTCCCTAGAAACGATGGCTCCATTATCCTCTGCCACCGTGGGAGGTCAAAGTGCAATGGCGCCATTGTGAACCAGGAGATGGGGTCATGCCTGTGAATCTGCTCACCCTTTCTTGGACCTTGGAAAGTTCAGGTTCAGAACTTTGGAATGTCTATCATATATAAGATACATAGCTTATAGTATGTTTCAACTCAAATGGCCCTGGGGAATTAAGTAACGTTTTTGGAGATTTATTTTAATTTGCTTCTAAGTGCAGAACCTTTGCAGGTCAGGAGAGAGAGAGTCAGATACCCTGAAGCTGGAGATACAGACTGTGGCAAGCTGTTCAACTTGGGTGCTGGGAATCAAACTCTAGTTGTAAAAAAAAAAAAAAAAAAAAAAAAGCAAGGAAGGCTCTTAAGACACTGAGCCCTGGAGTTGAGTATTTTTGATACAGGACCTGTGGACTAAAATAGTTACTGTCTGTGACTTTACAGTAAAAAATTAGCCAAAACCTCTTGTACAATAGCAATGCAGATAGAATATGCTCAGCATGACCTCCAACCATAGTAAAGATGGGGCTCTAACAGCCTAACCCTTGTGGAGGGAGGTTGGCACCAGAGGAGCAGACTGGCTGGGTTGATCTCCCGGCCACCCACTCCTTCATTGCCCACTTTTGCATAACAGCTGGAGAGCCGAGACAATGGAATAGTTAAAAGGTGGACGGAGAGGGGTTTTGAGGAGCTGAAGTGACACCATAAAAGCTTTGCCACATTGCTTTTACCAGGCAGCATCGGCTGGGAGGAGCCTGACCCCCAGAGGTCAGCAGGAGTGGGTAAAAGGCTTGCCTTTGGGATAAATGCACATCAAAACCTGCTCAGGGAGGGAGAACAGGAGGAGAAAAGAGGAAATAAATGACAAAGAGAGTAGTTTGAAAGAATTTCGTCCTAGAGGAAGCAAGCAATGAGGCCAGGCAAGGAATAAATGGCGTAGAAATGACAGTCGTTCTTGTGGTTGGGCCACGGCTGCACTCCAGGGCTGCTCAGACCCACCGTGTGTCAGCCCACCTCTCCCTGTTCATACTTCAATGTGAACTTTACCGGGAAAGGGGGACAGGAGGCAGCGAAGGGGAAAACAGTGGCTGCGAAGGACTTGTGCACTGGGTGTGAAGCCATTTCAATTTTATATTCGAAAGGACTCTGTAGGTGATCCCGTGAATGCAATTATGCCTACCTAATAAAAGCAACATATGCTAAGACAATTAAAAGATTTTATTATACGTCTCTTCATTGTAGTCCGGGTTAGGCGGGAGGAACGGAAACTGATGAGAGAAACAGGATTGATCTGGCAGGAAGGGGAGCCAAAGTCGAGGCCTGGACCATGCTGCGGGGGAAATGGATGGGAGACGCTACCCTTCTAACATAAAGATGAGTTACGGACTGACTCTTTGCCGGGGTGTTTTCACCTTGCAAAATGCCAAGGCTCTGGTTTCATGACTATGTGACGAGGAAATATCGCTGAAGGGATCACACTGCCTCCGTAAAGGCCCTTGGCGTTTCAGTGTGCAGCCGTAAAATGGAGGTCTTCCTACAATGTCGGGGTGGGTAAAGGGTCTGCCGCTTGATTTGAAGTTTAATGACAAAGAGGTAAGTAGGAATCAAGCTAACATTCTGGTGTCCAATTGTTCCACGGACACATACTGAGGACTCACGCTTCTGACGGAGAATTGCGAGTCTGGAGCAGGAGCAGTCAGTGTCCCCCAAGGAGCCCACTGTGGCAGTCTGAGCCCCAACCATGAAAAGAAAAATAGTCTTTTGCTTTTCTTCTGGACAGAGAGAGCCAGACGGAACCCAGCTTGCCTTGCAGAGGGAGCTGACCAGTTCTCACCAATAAAAAGTGCTTAGGATTGACCAGAGAGGGCTGGAGACAGTGTCTCAGAATCTAAACATACTGGCTGCTCACCCAGAGAAACTAGATTTGGTTCCCAGAACCCCATGACTGCTCACAGGCGATCTGACGGTCTTCTCCGGTCTCCTTAGGCACATTTTACACGCTGTACAAATATTCATGCATGCAGGAAAACACCCAAACACATACAATGAAGGGAAAACTTTCGTGTCTGGTGAGAGTCAGCTAGTAGGAATGCACAGCCCACCAGGAGGAAAGGAACTACCTCCTGTGTGGGGCCTGGGTGCTGGCATCACTTTATGGAACATAGTTCCTGTTATTCTTTTGGTCCCTGCCCTAGCCACGCCCACTCCTTTTTAACCTCTGCCCTCTGCCGGCCATTGGGCCCCCCCTCCCTGTGTTCTTCCCCGTGTACACACGGGGCTCTGCCTCTCTCCTCCTCTCTCTCCCTTCTTTCTCTTTCTCCTCTCTCTCTCTCTCTCTCTCTCTCTCTCTCTCTCTTTTCCTTTCTTTCTTTCTTTCTTTCTTTCTTTCTTTCTTTCTTTCTCTCCTTGTTAATAAATTCTTATATGGCTATTTCCTGTGTTTATATGTCTGTTACTGCCGCCACCGCCAGCGCAGCGCAGGCCCTCCCGCGCCGCTTTTTCTCATGGCGGGCTCCGCCAGCCTGCCCCAGGGATATTTTTTTAAGAATAAGAGCTCCCACCTTCTGGAGCAGCAGCTCAGACCTTTGGTGTTTAGGAAAAAAAAAAAAAATAGAGCGCTTGCTGGTTGAGCTATACAGCTTTCTGGAGGCTACTTGTTATTGCAGCCACACCTATCCTGATATAGTAGTCACTGTGCAGATGAGCAAACAATTCCCGTGAGAGTCGTTTTAAGGACCAGCAAGGTGACTTTGTAGTGAAGAGAGCTTGCTGGACCTCCCATGGATCTGAGTTTGGTTCCCAGTATCCACATTGGGAGGCTTACCACTACCTATAATTCCAACTCCAAGGGATCTGATACCCTGTTCTGGTCATCCACACACATGCGAGCAAACCACACACACATACACACCCATGTGTGC